TAATTTACTAGTCTCAACAAAAAAAAAAAAAAAGATTCAAAAACAAATTATTCAATTAACAACAGAACTATTTAGAAAAATTAAATTAGTTTCGGTCATATATGATTTTTCCTTCTCCTAAACCAAATCATGGAGAAAAAACAATAATTAATATTCTAATTTTTCAACCAATTTCTTATTTTTTGCATTATAGAGCTAACAACCAATAATCAATCAACTTGATTTTTTATTTTTTTTATTAAAAATTATAAACTTAATCAAGAATCTAAAAAAAAAAACTCTCAATTATTTAGAGTGGATGAGTTTTAATTATAAATTATGAATTGCACAAACTTTAATATTTATAACACACAAATTTAGGGAAAAAAAGGCATATTTGAGTTTCTTTAGCCATGCAAGCTACCATCTATTAGGGAATGCATCGAAAAAACCAGAAGAAAGGAAGAAAAGAAAACCCAAAAAAAATATTAAAAATTTTTTTTGTTTCATTCAAAATAAAAATATTTAATAAGTATGATGAGATAGGTTTCCTGCTCAATGGTGACTGGTGAGTAAAGTAAGACCCAAGCATCATTAGTTTTAATGGAATAATGATGTCATCCATCAAAGAAGGGCTTATTTGTCATTGTTGAAGAATTCAAGGGGTTGCATGTTGCTGAATTCGGTTTAGGGGCTAATCTGCCACCAATCGAAAAATTAAAAGGTTGTTTTGCATGATTCGCCAAAAGAAAAAATAAATTACCCTTACACGTACTTCCCGTATCATGGAAAATAAGGTTTTGAACGTTATAAAGAAAGGGAAGATGCCAATTGACGTGTGGCCCAATCGGTTGACCCCCCAAACTTTAGGGTTTGGGTGAGGTGGAGGTCAGGGTTTCGAGCTCTGCCACCGCCGTGAACTCCACAAATTTATGACTTAATGGTTGCGCGCCTCAAATGAGAGGTGGAAGTTTCACTTTCTTGGAAAAATTTTAGTTGCTAACAAACTAACTCTACTAACTTCCTAACCATCTACTTGGTCAAAAAAAAAAAAAAAAAAAGAAGAAGAAGAAGAAGAAAAAGAAGAAGAAAAAGAAGAAAGGGAAGAAGAAATGCATTGAAGTAATTGGTTTTGGCGTTTTGCCCCACATGGGAAACAGTCCTTCCGTTCTCGGTCAACTGAAATCTACATTTGCCTTTTTGCAAGGCATGCATGCCAATATGCCATAATGCCATAATGTTGTTTCCAAGATTAAATTATTTGTCTCATGTTATATCTTTCACCTCCAAAGTACAAAGCCAACGATACTTCACAATCAAAATTCAACATCAAACTTCCCCAGCCTCTGTGTGACAATAGAGAGTTGAGTAAATGAACTTAATTTTGTTAATTTTCTTAATTAAAAGAGTTTCTTACTAGTTTTTTTTTTAAGTTAATAGAGTAAATTAAGAAGGTAAGTTCAGCTGAATTGATAAATAATGTGAAAGATCAAGGTTTGATT